TCCTATTGCACTTTATATTGCTGCTATCAACAGTCTGAAGTTTCCCCAATCCTGCCATGCTACAAAGAACAAACTTCAAGACTACAGAAAAACTCAGCTTCTACTAAACCCGTAGACAAGTACTATATCTACAGCATCTATCCTTGAGTACATTAACACATAAAGACTTACAGATTTGCTTCTAACCACTGCTACTACCAGACATCAGACACATTCTGGCCCAAGAAAGGTCAATGCTGGATAGAGGCAAAACAATGAAAACAAGACAAAAAGAAAGCCTGCACCAAGACTGAAAGAGGAGGAAGTGCTGGGGTAATTCAAATGTGAAGTGCAAGCACTTCACAGGAGCTTGCAATCCACTGGAAGAAGAAAAATGACTAGGTGTAAAAAGAGCAAGTGGAAGAGAAGTACACATCATTTCTAGAAAGGAGAAAAATATGGAATTTGTACTTTTTCTTTTCAAAGACAGATGAGATGGATCAGAGAGCAAGAATCTACTTATCTCCTAAACAAACTGGAAGAGGTTAGGAAGAAATCAAAGGACTGCCCACAGAGGGAAATGTATGAGCGTACAGCAAGAAAACAGGCACGGGAGAGCTGGGATGCCAACAGCACTCCCTCAGGTGGAGGAGTCCTCCTATTACATCTGAAGCAACTGTTTCTCATAACGGGCATGGTTATTACAAATTATACTGTCTGTGCAAAATAATTTTTCTTCTCCATGGAGGAAACTACTGAAGTTGTGTCTAAAAAACACAAGTACATTAAAAAGAAAAAGAATGTCATATACAGGAAAAAGCATAATGTGGCTAACTTGTGTTTAAAAAATCGTATTGGTCTTACAATGTTCATACTTACCTACAAGAGAATCATATTTCAACACTTTTAAACTACAGATATGAGCTCATAATTTTACTTCAACAAGTACAAATAAAGACCTGCCTGATACCACTTCTTAGAAGTCGCTGTTATGGGTAATATAATTGCTTAAGCAAACGAGTATCAATGGGTACGGGCATGAGATAGAATCAGTCAGAACCCAGAGCTAATAGAGGTGCTCTCTGCAGTAGTACTTAATTATGTTATTAATTATCAAGTTAAAGCTAGCAAAAAATTTTCCCTCTTAGCAACCTTTATCTTGTTTTGATTCACGCACCCTAACGGGAATAACTGAAGTCTGCCAGCCTGCAGAAAAGAAACACACTGCTTTGTAAATACTGTCTGAAGAGTGTGGAACTCCTGCCATTTGGTGCAAAAGACACTTTTTTTTAATACTTGAAGTAAAATTTGCAAGGAAACCACTTACACATCTAAAACTAACCTTCAGCAAGTTTAGCACATTTTTATGTCAGGCTTCTCATAAATTAGATCAGCCTTCCTCACTGGTGACCACATCTACAGCTTGGTTAGTTAAAAGCTTTTGCAAAACTGAAAAGGAAACAAAAAGGAGGAAATAGGAAGAAGCACATTTGCAATAAATTATCTCGAATCTTTAGTCAACTGAACACCAAACGTCTCAAAATATTTCAAATAGAAAATGTTGGTTTAGATTCCGCTATTGATTTATTTTTAGCACTAAAGTTACTGTAGGGGAAAGAAAAGAAGAGAAACAATCATAATGGTTCAGATGTTTGTTTAAAATATGCAGGAAGTGATGCTAGCTCTTTGTGGAACAGTATAGAGAAATATCAACGAAATTTCAGCACAGAAAAAAACAGCATTCTCTTCAGTTATGCCTGCACTCCCAGAACTCTTCATTAACCAGGTAACTGTTTTTCTTTAGATGGTCTGTCAGTTTCTTCATTGCCACCTGAAGCGTCATCGTATCTGCGGGACCACTATGTACCATTGCTCTTGTAAATATATCTAAATACGCCATTATAGAAAAAAATATAATTTAAAGGCCTTTAGTAGCCTGAGCATGCCATTCATATAATTAGGGCACTTTAGAAAATTATCTGCTGGTGAAAACAAAGTGGTGATTTTGAGAAAACAGGAGGGGAGACAAGCTGAAATCTGAAATTTCTCATGAGAGATTCTTATGCTGCTTCAGTTCAGAACTTTCTTGTAAAGAAGTCTAACTATACTTACTATGGATAAAACAGCACACAGGCATGTAAATCAAGCAAGCAACCACAGAAGCTTTAATCCTGGCATCTTCTACCTGTAGGTACATCACTGTATAAATTTAATCCTGATTTGACAGGATTTTTTTTTCCCCCATAATAAATAGAATTGTTTCCCACACCATGTGGCAACTTAACAAATTATTGCCATATATACATTAGGAAAAGCATATTAAACCGCTGTATCGTATGGAAAAGCAACAAACTGGTGCTTGGGAAAGCCTTCTACCTGCATAAAGGTTTTGGTGGAAGGGTGGCATGGAGATGAGAAGGTGAGTTAATCACAACTATGAGAGAGAAAAATAGGTTAATACCAATCTCTGTGCTAAGATCTATGCTGTTCTTTTCTTTATTTCAATATTGACCTGCTCCTGAGTTGCCCCTTCTCATCAGATATTCACAACTTTTCTCCATTACCAAGGCCTTGCCACAATTTTTTCACCCTACATATAGCATCTTTATTTTCTCAGAATCAACATTTGCAAAATGTGGAACCGATGAGCACGTAGTTTTATAGATTTCTACCTCCCTTCCACACTTCTGCTTCTTTGCTTTCACACCCTCTAGCTTTCCTCCATTTCCCTACCGTGTTCCTCTCCACTCTCTCACACTATCACTACATCTTACAGTACTTTCTTCATCCTGATTATCCCTCTTCCTAAGCTGCACCTTCCTCCTCTTTCCCCCTTATAAAGGCAATATAGGTAATAGAGGGAAATATATAGCTGGGTAAATATATGGCTATAGGAAGACACTACCCAAAGTTCTGGAAGTAATTACTACTATTATCTAAAACTGACATCTTTGATAGAAAAACACATAAGTTATATAATCTTGACATGGAAATCCCCGTAGAGGAAATTAAATATGATCTCTAACCACGACACTCAAAATGAACACCTCAGAATGGAAAAAAGCTTCTTCTGATAAAATGAAGCTAAGAAACGAGAGGGAGCTAGAAATATAGAGGAGTTTCCCCTCATGAAGTGTTTAGCATCTGGGCCTTCCCTATCTCTCTTTGAGGTTTCTTTCTGAGTGCAAAGTGAGGACAGATGTACAACATTGTAACTTTATACTTAACAACTTTCTCCTGTTTTATTGTTTGTGACTTTAAATGATCCTGTAGTACAGAAATAACAGAGAAGTTTTAACAAAGCATAGATCACCTCAAGCATTTTGGTTATTCCACTGTCAACATTAACTTAGTTCTTTTACCCAATAAAATTTTATGCCTGTTTGAGAAAAGACAAAGTTAATATTTTGTTCTTGTAATATTTTTATTCTGCTCATTGGACTTCCGTAACATGTTTTTTCCATCCACCAAAACAAAGTTGATGCTGACAAATTGCAAATGTCAGGAGGGACTTAGCTTTCTTGTCCAGTGCTCAGTTGGCTTGACTTCAGCATCTGAACAGATCCAGTGAACAACTGGCACAGGTTCTTCCCCAACATAGTAGTTTATTCCAAACAATTCACTTCAACTGCCAATCACCATGCATTTCAGGAAATATTACAACTATAGAACCAGGCCTCTTTGCTAGTGTCCCATAAGTTTCCTTAGAAATAAGGGAGCAGATAACTCCCACATATCTTCATTTCTGTATATGAAGGAAGCAGTCTGAAAATCCTTTTATCTATTTTAGTATCCTTTTTCTCTTATTCAGGCTATAAATAGAACACACTGCTATCTCCTTTTAGGTTCTTGATTTCTCCTCTTAATTCTGAAGGTGTTTTTTGTGTGTGTGCGTGCGTTTAAAAAACAAAAACAAAACAAAACAAACAAAAAAACTTGCCAGTTCTTTATTCTTAGTGGATTAGCCCAGTCCACCTCCGCCACACAGCTTGGATCACTGACATCATGTCGCCACACTTACCAGCTCCAGGCCTTTATAGTCCCAGCGAGCCACTGCATCACTGTTTCACCAGCTTTAGCTCAAACCTACAATATTCTTTCTATATGAGCTTCCTCATATAATTTTCCAGCACAGTTGAAGATTTGACAAAATACTAATGTCAATTTTATTTTTAAACTGATTCCAAAATTTAGAATTAAGCTACATCTCAGAAGTTGTTGGTTTTTGTTTGTTCGCTTCATCAAGAAATCAGGAAAAACAAACATTGGTGAGTGAACTATTCTCTCAGTAACACTGAGGATTTCATCCCTATAGCTCTGTGGTGCAATGAAAGAAATAGATGGGGAAAATAAGAAGTTCACAATAAGCAATAGTGGAGGCTCTATTCAAAATATGAAATAGAGTACAAAAGTCAGTATCAGATATCGCGAAATATAGTTTTAGTTTTAATGTTTACGGTACTACGACCACCACCAATCATTCAACTTACAGACGTCATTTACCATTTCGACAAAGCATTTAAGTAACATCTTTTCTACTTAAATCCTTTGTTGAAGAAGCTCTGAGACAACACATTTATACACTCTCCTTAACACAAACTCGCTCTCCATCTGTACTTCTGCAAAATTCAGATTTTCAATAACTCTATCTATTGTAGTAAAAAAAAAAAAAAAAAACAACAACTAAAAAAAAGTGTACATCACTTCAGTCTTGCTAATTTACTTTTAGATCTGAAAACACACCAATTTTACTCCATTTTTTAAAATCACACTGTATGTTAAACTGATTATGCTAAATTGTCTCCCTAGCCAATAGTAAGTCAGCCAATCACCTGAACAAAAAGTTGTGTGTTCTTGTTTGTTTTTATACACACAAGGCCTTTTAGCAAATTACAAAATTAAAGTTTCCATTCCGTATTTGTTTTACTGTGATTTTAGCACTCACAGATCATGTTTTAACTACAAAGTCATGCAGCAAAAGGATAAAGTAGGAGGGAATATTAAAACAACACCAAACTTACCCCTCTGAAATTCCAGCTCTTAGTTGAAGGAAACAAGGAAATATTGTTCTGTTGCTGTTGTTTTGGCCTACAAGACGAAACAAGGAAAATTATTTACCATTACAAAAGCATTTATCATGACATTTTCAGCCATTATTATTTTCTACATCAACAACAGAGTGACAACAGAAGAGAGAAAAGAAAAACACAGATTTCAAGTACTAAGACACCTTAGATTTCCTTGGCAGTAATTCTGACAGGTTTCACTCTTCAGTTTAGAAAAACATTTCAATTTAGATTGAGCAATAAGGGACATTGCAGCCTCACAAGTCTTCAGAGGTGGACTGGCTTGATGTCTGGCAGTAACTTCATTACTCCTACTGATTTTCAGCCAGTAAAGATGACCCTGACCTGAACAGCATGGGTCTGCGAAAGCTGTAGCTGTGCCACGTACTGTGCAGTGTGCCAGCTGGGCTGGGCAAGATCACCAAGGAGCTCTCAGCCCTAATGGTGATGCAAGGTATGCAAGGCACCAATGTAAAGCAAGCTAGCCATACCTTTATGCTAACATCTGGAGAAGCTGACTACAGGTTATACTCGTTCCAAAACCTTCCTACCCTGTAATTACCACTGCACAATTATTTCTGAAAGGTAACTATAACGTTATCCGCTTCACTCTTAACAAGTGCTTTTCATTCATTAAGATCTTGAAGATCTTAAATTGCTTTGCAAAGGTAGGCAAACATTGCTGAGATTTGACACATGAAGTCAGATCAAAGCTTGACTGACCTGCTGAAGTTGACCAAACCAACAAATAATTTGTTGGCGGGACCTAACTATTGTGCACACTGCAACTCAATCCATGCAATTACAGAGATTACAGGTTAAAAAACAGTGAATTAAACAGCTGCCTGTCAAACCTCCTCTCCATCCAACAATAACAGAACAGATGTTTTTGCAGTCAAAGCACTAATCTAGCATGGAAGATCTGGGAGTAGATCCTTCTGTGTAGAATTCCTGAGGGACTTCAGCACACTGTGTCCCAGTTTCTATTCTGTAGTCAGGAGTAAGCAATAATTACCTTAGTCTTCTGTCTTCCCTATTTTGGTGTAAAATATGTTGCACATGGACATTTTCATATTATGTACATTAAAAGATGTCATAGAGCTAAGATCACAATAGCCATTTTTACAGGTTAACATAACACAAATCATAAAATATCATGACAACTGAGTTGTTACAACTCAAACCTTGGTGTTAATATTTTCAGTTTTTCATTCTAGTAGACAGCCAACCATAAAGGATATCAATATTTCAAGCACAGTGATGAAGTCATTAAAAACCACAAAGAGCATACAGTACAGATTTTATAGACTATCCATTAAGAAGTTCTCATACAGCAGTTTTCCATGTTCAGATATTAAGAAATTGAATGTCTAACACAAGATTCTCAGTGGAACTGTAACTGCATTATGAAAAGAAAAAAAAAAAACAAAAAAAAAAAACCACAGATTTCAGTTATCCTAACAGTGTTTTACATCCTTTTTGTTCACTGGCATGCACAAATGATCTCCAACAAGAACCAGAGTCCTCCAAAAAGAACCAGAGTCAGGATCTCCAAGATGCATTGTGTGCTTTCTAAAGAGTTGTGCTCCTTAGTAATTTTTCAAGAAATGTCACACTTAAAATATCAAAGAAAATGCAGAAATATAAGTTTAACGCTATTCATGCATATATTTTCCCAGTTTATTAAGACCACCAGCACAAGCTGTATTTTAATTAAGCTGAATATAGGGGAAACAAAGATATTTCAACTTGAATAAGTATGAGAGGATTGACAATAGTTTACAAAACAGGGAAAAAACAAGGTAAATGAAAGTTTCCTAACAAATTACTTCTCTCTGCAATAACAAATTACTTCTCGTCTTTTAACAAGAGCCAGGGACTATGCTAAGAAATAAATTGGCTGTATTATTGTGTGCTCTAAACTGAAGGCCATCCCTTAAAAGAAGTCTGATGACTAACAATTTATCATCCATCTTTATGTAACCTTCCCATTCAATTAAAGCATACCAGACCTAACGGCAACTGTCACTAAGTCTTCACAGAGAAGATGCTTAATATTACATCTACAATTTGCCTGTTTTCATAATGGTTGTCCTCCTTGCTTGTCTTATCAGTTAGGGATCTTACTTTATTTTGGTGAGAACAAACCTCTTTATTATTCATAATGGTATGCTAATTCCTTTCTTATTAATAGTATCACTATTAAAGAGCCCTAAATGCAGGAAAATCAAGACAGTTTTAACAAAAGGAGTGCTTAATTAACAAGCTAGTAAAACTTAAAGTCACTGTATGCCTTTCCAATACTTACTGGGCTGAGACCTATAGGATGTAACCAAATTCTTTGCAAATTCTTTTTTCACCCAATGTATGCAGGTCTCATGTAATGAACATAAACTAGGCTTAAGAATTATACTCATTTACCACCATAAAGGCTACATTAAATGATTTCTTCAAAAGCTTTCAGATAGATATATATATCTGACCTATTACTTCCCTATTATATCCAAAATGCATTCAGAAAAGAGATGCCCATAAATCATACAAAGAAATCACTTTCAATGAAACAGAAAGCAACAAAATCAGTCTGGGGAGAACCTTTAATCAAGCTTCATATCATTACTAAGACTGACAGAAGAGAGCCTTCCAAAATGCAAGATGAAACAATTGCTCAACAAATAGAAACAATTGCTCTCTTGGGCCCCTACAATGGACCAGGAAAACTTCATCAGAGGCATTCAAATTCTACAATGTATTCAAATTATAATATGTGGGAACAACAGTAAATACAACAACTCCAATTTCCCATCACAAACAACCATTTTGTATAGCACACCTCAATCTTATCAAGACCTTAAAACTACAAAAGCACTGTCCTCTTATCTTACAGAAAGACTGTTCTAGAAATCTTACTATTCCCATACCTAGAAACCATGTAGGCTAAATATATTCATCTGCCATGGCCAGCACTACAAATCAGCATTTTTCAGCTGAATGCGCCCTTAAACCAGAGCAACGTAAAATGCAAACAGATTCTCAACTATGCCTCAACAAAACATAGTTCTAGCAAAAACACGACCTCATTTGCAGTTCTCAGTTTGGTCCTTCACTATCTTCAAGCTATTTTATTATGTGTCTTCCCAACAGTCTATCAATATTGGTAAGAATCATACTGGAAAATAATTACAGTACTGCAGATTTGGGAAAAGACATTTAAAATTATTGTCTTACTTTTTTTCTACAGGGCACTGCTACAAAGAGTATTCTGTTTACTGGATAAATCTTCCCTGAATTGCAAGAGAATGAAAGCTAATTAATAAACAGTCTGACTGCATTATAAAAGTGTTATCGAAATACTATTTGATATTTTAAATACAAAAACAAAAAGCTAACAGAATAGCCATTAAATCTTATGCTTTGATAATAGGGATACTGCGTCAATAGGTGTATTAAAGTCCCTTCCTTTGGAAATAAAATAGTTTACTGACCAGACCAATAATTAAAATCATCACTGGCATAAGTAGGTAGCAGAGACAACAAATTAAAAATATTCATGCAAGGATGGAAAGTGGAGACAAATTAAAGGGCATAAGCAGTGATGAACACATCTGATCCTGAGAGACTCAGACGCTCTAGTAAGGCTTTTTCAGATGTCAAGAACAAGACAGGGATGGTTCTTGTAACTACATGAAATGTGACTGACACTCTTGAAATATATATAATATATGATTAGAGACTAGATGATGGCTGGGACACAAGGAATTACATGCCAGGTGACAGAAAGAGAAAAATTGCTTCCTGGAATTACTTATAACAGTAATCTGAAGGCTGCCATTTATAATACCCGGTCTTTCTTACAGATGGATACGCCTTTTCATTTAAGTAAAAGTTACCAAAACCTTTTCTCCCTAGTACTGGAGTTTTAAGAATGAAAGACTAGAAGGTCAGTGTGGAACATTGAATTGAAAATAAAGATGCATGTTATTTGGCTTAAAGTATGTTCAGTATATTTATATTGTGGGGGGCGGGGTGGGGAGCAGCAATTCGTAGTAAACCAGCATCATCATAACTGCTTGTCTGGAAACAAAACATTGATCTTTCTTAAAAAGATTTTGCAAAAAATGTCCACTATGTTTTACATTTACTGAGCTCAGTAACTATATACCTAGCGTGTTCCAATACTGCCCTGGAACTTAGAGCAAAGCTTGAATTCTTTGCTTCTTGCGTATCACCAGTAGCAGTAACATTTCCAGGGCAGATTAGCATAGAGTTTCAACAACAATTGATCATGACCCACAACTATTCTTGCTGCGTAAAACTCTGGATAGAACCCAGACATGTCCCCCAAAATTTTGTTCACAAAGGTTAAAAAAACAAAATAAAACAAAACACCTGTAAGTCATAAAATAAGACCTTTGTCCTTAAAACATGTGGGATTTTCTGTTTAGGTTCACACACACACACACGCACACTACAAATAGAAATAATAAAAATATCTGCTGGACAAAGATACCCTTACTGAAATTTTTAGATAGACACCAAATCAACATGCCTCCCAGAATAAATCAGTGCATTTTTTGTGCAACCTGTGCTACGCTGCAGGTCACTGACAATAAACAGAATATAAAGGAATCTAAAGACCAAAACATCCACCAACTGTTGTACAGTTTTTATTACATTTCCAAGAGGAAAAGACTTACATATCTTGATGCACAACGAGATAGATGAAGGATTTACATTACTTTATGTTAAGCTCATGTAACTTGCATCTTCAGCTGATCCTGCAGTCTTTCTGTACACACAGCACTATCATTTTTTTTAGATATGAATATCCAAGCTATGTGCTTAAAACGCTAAACTGTTGCATCTATTTGAAGAAAAAAAAAGTGCATTTCAGAAATCTACATGAATACTCAAAAAAAAAAAAAATGGAAAGCTTAAACCACTTAGAGACGAAGTAAAAATTCTTTTCAAACTGCAAAAATTGTTGTTTCTACATTTGTGAATATTTTACAAAGATATAGT